TTACTTTTGATTACAATTAATACAATGAGCATATCAACAATGTATTCCAATAGTTCCGTGGCATTGTTTTAGCTATACACGTCTTGCAACTTTTGCTAATTTTTCTTGCAACTTTTGCTATTTTCAAATGCAACTTTCTCTGAGGACTTATTATAGCAGGATTCTCGCAATACAAATGTAAGTAGTAAGTGTAAGGGATCCAGTAATAAATTCAAGGGAATATATACATGTAGTGTAGTAAAGTAGGCCTAATCTATAAGTATTATAAGTCTGGTTTTCGGTTTATTTCTTTTGTGTAATTACCCCTGATGATGATTTGGTTCAACATGACCTTTAACTTTAAGTTTTCACTTACTTTGACTAGTTTTAAGTCTCACTTGATCAAAAGTCGAATCAGGTTTCTTTCTCTAGCGCAAGCGATGTTGACATCTCAGCGTTGTATGATTGTATTTGTATGCCACATTCTCCCCCCTCATTAAATCTGGCCTTCATTGTTGGAAGTTGGAACATGTGGGCTCTCTCATTCTTTGTTTCGCAAGATAACCAACAAGTTTCTCAACTGGCGAGGTTTTACATGAATAAATAGCCTATGCATTGTGCACAGCAGCAGCAATATTCTGCTATATAACCGACTCGCGTGTTTGTCTGGTTGCGTATAGCAGTATTTCATTTACAAAGAAAAAGAAGGGAAAAAACGGGGTTTTAGAAAAGTGTTTTTATGATTATGACAGACTTCTCGTTATTTCAGGACTAGTTATAAGTGGATTCCACTGTACCGGGTACCTGAACCCCTTCATTGCAAAGATGTCTGTTTTGTTTTAGTACCGTAAGAGTTTTACAGCACTTGCAACTCAAAAAGATGATACAAGTGCTGAAGATTTAGAGGTGTTACAAGAGAGTAACAAACCTAAAAAAAAAAAAAAAAAGTGATTAGGACGATAGGCGTTTGATAGGAAAGAACGAGCAGACCTATCTTCCTAAGTACAGTCATCAGGAGAAAGCTTAAGCGTGCTTAAAGCCGAAGCGTGCTTAGGCTTGAGTGCGGAGTAGACATACTCCAGAGATTTTCATGTAGAAAATTCCCCATGCTATTTCCCTTTGTTTGTAAGTAGGCCTATAGCGGTCCCGCAGAAGTGTGCACCGTTAGACACCCGCCATGGTAGTTTTTGTTCGCTTGTTTGTTTTTGTTTTGTGGTCAAATGGGGAATGAAAACTTAATTTAGACGGCCAGTCACGATACAGTATACAGCACACTAGGCCTACTGTAACACACTGCCTGTGCGTATCACTGCCCGCTGTGCCACTCATACCACCGCCTTCACCCCACCTCGCACGTGATACACAATCATGATTAATGGATAGCGAGGGTCAAAGGTGAAATCGTAGCCAGCCTCCCTTTCTCTCCTCTCCCCGGCTCTCTTTGTATTTTTTTTTTGTCGTGTGTAGCTTTGCCCTAGGCCTAGGCTAGATCCTATGTCCGCGCGCACGGCTGTGTGCATCTCTCTGCTTTCCTCTCCGCCCGTGTGAGTGAGTGTGTCCATCACTTGCGTTCTTTGTGTTTCTCTTGACACACTCCACTACTGCGGTGTAAATTGTGTTCGAACGTCGAAGGGTCATCATGAAAATATTGACTGTCTTGGCTAAATGAAGCGTGCTTGAAGCCGAAGTTACCGTGCTTAAAGGCGTGTAATTTATATAGCAAAAATTCGGTAAGATTCAAACATCAGATAAACTACAGAGGAACTCGGATTCAACGAGGTCGTCGGGCCTGGCCTAAAATCCCGTTGAACCTGAGTGTTCGTTATCATGCTGTCCCCGTAGGATTATGCGGCCGCGTTTTTTCGCGTAATTTTGCAACATTTGCATAATTTTGGATTCTCCGCGTTTTTCCCATTTTTTTTCACAAAACAATTACATGTAATATGTAATTAACACCTCGCCATGTGAGTAAAGGGACCGTAAAAAAAAATTCTCATTTAAGTGAAAAATTGGTTATTTCCCTTGTTAGAAGATCTTGGTTATGGTTTGTGATTTTGTTCCTGGGGCATGTTCAATTTTTCAATCCATCAAAAGTTGTTGTGTTCTCATGTCTGCTGATGTTTCATGTCTGACAAGTGTCCCTGGTTTTAGTAATGTGCCAGCATCAGAGGTCCAGATGTCCTATTTTTAAAAAAAAAAAAATCTTTCTTTCTTTTATAGATCTATAGATCTACAGCTGAAAGTTACAGAGATTATATGTTTTGGTTACTTTTTTTTTTACTGATGTGTATTGTTTTCTTTTCCAAATACACAACAAATTACTGATACTGATATGTTCTGTTTTAAATTTTTCTGTACATAAAACATGAAAATCATGAAACTTCGAGTTGAAAAAGAGCAAAACATGTCGCGAATGGCGTTACGGTAACTTGCATAATTTTGCTTTTTTGGGCATAATTTGGCCTTCTAAATTTGCATAATTCTACGGGGACAGGGCCTGGATCGATAACAACAACAACAACGGGGACAGGGTACAGCAAACACGAGGTTTCGTGTAGATAATTACATGTACAAGCACTGAGCAAGTAATGTACAAGGGAAGTCACAAGTAGTGCCTCAAATGCCTGCATATTATGAGCTGTGTAAAAAAAGACCGAATCGTTCAAATACACACGCCTGTGTCATCTCGACTGTTGACCAAAAAGTTGTGTTGCTGTGAAGAGCCTATCACACGGCAACTTTTGATTCCATAGACCAGTGCACAATTCATTATATGTAGATCTACGTCAAGACTAGCTTATTATTGTAATAATAATGATCAGTTGCCGAAGGGGAAAAAAAGACTGATGCGTTTGTATATATATTATATTATGCGACGTTCAACGCCCGGACCTCTAGTGCCCCCCCCCCCTCCCCGACATGCACACACAGTTGACACAGCCTCACATGTGCAAGCCGCCCATCCAACCCTGACACACGCCAGAGTAGACACGTGCGCGTGCCAACAACACAAGTGTTAGTATTTAAAAAGGCCGCTGATTGGTCGCATGCTATCGGCTAAGTAAATACTGGTTCACAATGCAGGTGCAATGAATGGTTTCCGGGAATAGATAAAGTTTGTTCTGGTAGAAAAATTAGCGAAGCCACGTTTGCGGGGACTGTTCACCCTGGAAGCGACCTCGTTGAATCCGAGCTTGCTGATTTAAGTGCTCGTTGAATCCGAGTTACTTTTATTGATTTTAAAGAAGAAAAAAAACGGGGAATCTATCTTATCTCGTTGAATCCGAGTTCTTGTTGCATCTGAGCTCGTTAAATCCGAGTTTCACTGTATCATAAGCTAGCTTGCCTTCCTTCAAGTAAATCTAGATCTACACCCATAGCAAGCAGTGACACACGCAGCTGTGCCTAATCGGCTACATGATGCCTCGTGTCACGGCTGTGCGGGGAAATGTCCTACGCGAACCGGCCACCTGCAGAGAACCAGCCACCTGCACTGCGCTGATCAATATATATAACGCTACGCATTTTAACACTAATCACCTTTTTGTCTCTCCTGTAAAATTTGCCTTTCTGCATGTAGCCGGTTTGTGTATGTCAAAAAGAAAATTTAGAGAAAAACAGAAAAAACACGGATTTTTAAAAGGATTTGCACTTTACAAACGCCCTGTTAGGTCATTTAGGGTGTTTTTAACAGTTTAGTCATGCATTATGACCCGATCGAACCGATGTCAAAGGACGTTTTTCTGTAAAAAAAACAAACCCAAAAGTTGGATAGTTTGAAAGATGTTATCGTTATTGTCTGGGATCGCCGACCCGGGTCTTCCCTTTAATGTCCCACCTTTGGGAATGGCCTAAAGACACTTCCGTCAGTAGCACCACCCCGGGGGAGAGGTGATATTTCTCAATGTCAATGTCAAAAACAGCAGAATAAAACATGAACATTATTTATTTTGCATTTTCTTTTCATTCAGTGGAGTCTTTTATTTACTCTTTTGGAGTAAGACTGGAGGGACAAAACCAAACGTAAGAAAGATTAACTAAGCTTTACAGTGTGACAAGGACCCAATCACAAAGAAACCACAACATGCACAGACATAATATATAAACAGAACAATGTGGTCCGTCACTCCATCTTTCTCCTTTCGTCTCTCTCTCACAAACACAAACACCCCCCCACACACAAAATATTCACAAACAAAGGCATACACATGTATACCAATATAATACAATACAGACACATGCGCAACCGCACTCTGACTGGTAAAGAATTTTCTCTTTTCTCAGAGACAAAATGAAGAGCAGACATGGTCCATTTACGCAGTGCAGCACTCCAATCCTGAGCTTCGAAGGGACACACATACATTCACACTCACAATCATACACACATCTAGCACACCGATACATCAACAACTGTTTCGCACTCTTCAACACTACAGGTTTTGATGTCTGCCACCTCATTTTTTTTCTTGGAACAGTATGATGACCACCAACATATGTCCAAGTCAGTGTATCTCATGAGTTTAGGAGTAAAGAGAGGCACATACATCATAAAATAACCATCAAGTCAGTATATCTCATGAGTTTAGGAGTAAAGAGAGGCACATACATCATAAAATAACCATCAAGTCAGTATATCTCATGAGTTTAGGAGTAAAGAGAGGCACATACATCATAAAATAACCATCATTTACCATCTAGGCCAATACTGGTGTCAAATTGCCTCTCTTCATCATTGCTTTCATTAGAGGCTGTCCCAACATTTGGCAATAAAGGTGTGCTGTCCACTCTTCCTCTTCAGTCCTTAAATAAAGTAGATAGTAGATGGGAATCCAGCTCACGCTGCCTTCGGCATATGATGTAAAAGAGCTTAACCCTATCCATACGCCCTGGGGTCATTTTGTACCCTCGAGTTGTATTCTTCACCTTTTAGAATACTTTTAGTGTGAAGATCTCTTTGAAACTTTCAGTATTTCTCAAAATATCATTTTGACAGACTGTTAAAGGATCGGATTAACGAGTAAATTTCCTTTCTGGAAAGTAGTGGCACAGTGTTCCCAATGACGTACTGATAGGGTTAAGTACCACACCACAGATGCCTGTCGAAAGTTGCTAGAACCCATGGCATTTGATAATAATACACAAGGGAACCGGGGCGACTTATTTTCGCAGACATCAGTTAGTGTCTCTGTGGCACAGTAAAAACGCAGCAGAGATATCCAGTCAGAACGTGAGGTTCTGAACAGCATGCTCACTTGTCTGATAAACACAACTCGCTGGTGAATATCTGGTCAGTTGGCCACAGTGGTATAAAAGTCATGAGCACATAAGTGTCAGCAAGAGTGTCATCTGTCCAGTTCCTCCATCATGCTGTCCACTTTAAGCACCTGAAAACAAAATACAAATAAAGGTGCAAGAAAATATGGGAGACAGCTTGGTGAAATCAAGGCGCTCGCCAAACTAATGAAATCAAAGAAACCAGCTATTTTATTTCTGGCCAGTCGCCAAATTGTTTCGAAATTTCTCCTTTTTTTTTGGGCAAAACACCTTTAAAGCCCATTTAAAAACATATTTCTGTGCAGGTTTTACAGAAAAAACGTTGATCAGAGACACACACAAAAAATGTAAATTTCCAGAATCCAAGGACACTCAAGCTTTAAGCTTTGGAAGTCACCAAACTTTGACAGTTATTTTCTCACTAATTTTACCTCTGAGACCAGATAACCTTCAATCACAAATATCTCAACATCTATTCAAGATAAATGGGTATGTTTTTTCATTAAGTAGGCCTACAAAACATATGCCCAAATACTGACAAGCGTCTGATTCCACAGTGTCATGACACATATTATGAACTTAAAACAAATTCATACGATTTTTCACAGAAAGGCTAACAAAACAAACAGAAGACTGATCCTCATCAAGTTTAAGACACGTCTCAAACCAAATGTGAGAATCTAAAGGCTGAGGGGGCCACTGTCCGGTAGGTCCTACTTCTTTAGTTTCCCCCTGTTGGTTTCATCTGTCTTACTTTCCCAGCTCTAAATGACCATAAAACTGTGTCCACGTGTTTGTCTTTATTCGAGCTCAAAGGAGTCGCAACCGAAACATTCTTAGCCATTGAATCCAGGCAAACAGGAATAACTGGCTTGAAAGTTTCCTAAACCAATCACAGAAAGGTGCAAATGTAAGTGTTGCAACTTGGTGAAATCAGGCACTCGCCAAAATTTGTAACGAAATTGAAGAAACTGTCATTTTTCCATCACCCTTTCAGCAGTCTTTATCAAAATGTTTTGGGTGGGACTCAACGTCTTTCATTTTTATGTCCATTTAGTTCTTAAAAACACATTATTTCTAAGTGGATTTTACTGAAATACATTTATCAGAGGCAAAGGTTCATGTAAACGCACGTTCCGTATAAACACACTCTCAGGAGCCCTCCCAAGCACCGTGTGTTTAAGCAGAGACTACTGTAATTCAATTTGCTGGATTTTATTTTGCGTGCACTTTTGCAAGTGGTCCTTAACTTTTTGTGAAGACTATTAAATTGTCAGTGCTAATGTATTATACTCCTACCAACACAATTAAGATCATTTTGGTGGCAGGCTACTTCAACATTGTCCATCAATCAGAATCAACCCAGGTTAAGTGGGACAGACAGAGATGCTCAACAAAACACTTGCCCAATCAGGAATCAAACGGTGAAGTGTCTAACCATTACACCATAACACTGAGCCTCATATTTCTGAGAGCACAGAATATCATTCTCCACTGTACAAAAAATCTTACAATTCAAGCATGTCATCAAGATGTTAACACAATTGCCGTTAAAAAATTTCTATGGTTTTAAAAAAAACTTTAGTAAAAACATGCTGACCTGAACTCATAAAACGACTTGAGCAAAAGTAAAAAATAATCTATAATTGGATTTTTCAGGACACAGATCAAATCCATGCTGTATTGAGAATATGGAACAAGTAACAGGTATATTTATCATACCAATGACTAGAACTTTGGAAAAAAGGTTACTTAAGCAACCCTGTTATTGTTATGAATGACTGTGATAATGTGTCCACTCACCTTGTGTCCTTATGCGTTCCCAAGCAACGTACACAGCAGTACCTCGTGCCGCACTGGACACATGTATAGTTGGAGGGGAAAGTACATTTGGTTAAGAAACATAGCTCTCTGTAATTCGTAACAGCACACTGCCCGCATACTGCAGAGCTTCATAAATGGGTGTCTAAGAAGGGTAGTGGGGATCAAGTGGTACGGTTGAGTCACAAATGCTCAACTGTGAGAAAATACAGGACAAAGGCCAGTAAAGAAAGGAAAACATACAGGTGAAAAATGGAAATGGATTGGGCACACCCTGAGGAGACCCCCAACAAGCATCATCAGACAGGCTTTGACGTGGAATCGACAAGGAAAACGTAAGAAAGGAAGACCAAAAATGACATAGAGGCGAGCGGTACAAACGGAAATGGAAAAGGCGGGGACATCATGGAAACAGCTAGGAAAGGATGCAGAGGACAGGCTTTGTTGGAGAAATCTTGTTGATGGCCAATGCTCCACTGGGAGTTAAAAAGGGCAAGAGAGAGAGAGAGAAAGACACTGCCCGCATAGGCAAAAACAAGAAGTACGTCTTATCTAAATTTGATTTCAGGAAAGAAAAGCACATCAAAACAATAATCAGTAACAGTTATTCAGCGCTTTCGGAAAAGTAAGACAGACAAAAATAAGGATTAAAAAAAAAGAAGTTTGCCCTACCAGTGGTACCTTCCAACTGCCTTCAAAGAGACGTGTGCACTTATTGTACCCCCATGTAAACAGAAAAAAAGCAGAAACCAGGACATAGGTAACTGGCATTATCATGAACCCCCCCCCCCCCCCCTGTTAAATCAAGAGTGTATAACCGCCAAGTAATTTCTGAGGTTAGACAAAATGTGTGTGTTCAACAAAACCTCCAACTCCACACACTGAAAAAGAAGCCATCAATGGCTTTCTCACTAATATCAACAATAAAGTCCTACTGCAGTAGCAGTAGTAGTAGTATAGGGTTTTACGGTCCTCACAACTGCATAAGGTCATATGAGCGCGTGAAACACAAGTTGTTTGCATTCGCGACAGTTCACTGCACGGTTGGTTAGCTTTTACACTTTAAAATGCTAAAATATCAAAATTCCGTGTAAATATATTTTCAATTTAAAACAACTTTTATAAATAACAATAAAAGTTTTAAATAGTACGATTTCACTTTACAGTCCTACTGTGCATTGAACAAACTCTATTCTTAGAGTAAGCATGGACTCAACAAATTGGCTCACTCAAAAGGCAGCTCTCAGTGATGTATCTTTGTGCACTTTTATTTCCCACACAAGGGCTGATTATGTTTAAGTAGAGGTTTTACGGCGCTCGCAACTGCATAAGGTCATATGAGCGCGCGGGACACACCTAATATTTTCAGTTGGTAGGAAATTTGGAATTTTGCCCGGGTGGCGGCCGAAGCCTACTCTTGTCGATTTTAGACCACCAAGGGATCTTTAACGTGAGCAACTTGCACACGGGCCCTCCGAGATTTTTCGCCCTTGTCCGAGAAGGCTAGGTGTAGATCTTTCCTACCAGAAGATCAGGGGTGTGGCAGAAAGACAGCAGTTAGGAGGAGCCAAGGAGTAGCAGTAGAAAGGCTGCAGAAAGAGTCAGGAGCCCAGAGGAGGGGGCAAAGGAGGTGAGGGGGTGGGGGCAGAAAGTGGAAATGAAAGCAGACAGCAGAACATTGTTAGAGATCAGGAAAGGATGTGAAAGGAGACAATTTTAGAGAAGAAAATTTGTTGGTCGCTACCCGGAATCGAACCCGGGACCTTTGAATGAGAGGCCAACACCTTAACCTCTAGGCCACGAGAGCCCCCAAGTAGAGGTTTTACGGCGTTCGCAACTGCATACGGTCAAATGAGCGCCAAGGGGTGGATGTCAACAGAGAAGTCCTTACAGGGAATCAGACTTACTCTGCTCACCTCTATAGCTTCAGCTGCACAAAGTCTGCTTCGACTTTCAATTAAGGCACCCCGGAAATAGAGGGTCACAAGAGTGTGACAAAGATAAAGGGCTGATTATAAATCATAATCATAAACAGAGGCATCATAGAGACCAATAAAGAAGAGTGCAGCTTTGACCCTGCCAGTCAGGGCAAACCTGGGGCTGAAGGGATGCAACATCTCAGACGACAACAGAAGTGTTTTAGTTTTACTAAGAGTTTTACGGCACTTGCAACACAATAAGGTCATATAAGTGCTGAAGATTAGAGGTGTTACAAGAAAGTAATAAACATAAAAAAGGAGGAGAGATCAGGACGAAAGATATCTGATAGGAAAGAAGGAGCAAACCACACAAGAGCACTCACCAACCATCCACAACAGATGTAGATAATTATAATCAATCCAAACCTCCCGACCTGGGAATAAAACTCATGTCATCTGCATGTAAAAGTGACGACGAGCCTTACAGCTACATCAAAGACAACATGACAGTACAACTTCTTACTTCCACACATTGGGTACTCACTGACATAAAAAAGGTACTCTACAAGTCAGAATAGACTTAGACACAGGCTTAACACTACAGATCAGATTTTTTTGGTACAATTGTTTCTTAAAATTACTTAAACTGAAAGAAACATTTTAAAAAAAATATATACATATACATTTTTGTTAAGTTTTCAAATCATAGAACATAGAAATCACAAGTCAGTACACATAAAACCCCCCATCAAAATACACAGGTAATGAACTTTCAAGGATATCCACAGACTGCACAGAAGCGACGCTCCGGAAGTTTGGATCGGGGTGCACAACTGCTGGTGTAGGACGGACCCTCACGGTTCATCATGTGCTGAAGAAAGAGAATTTACCTTTATACTTGAGCATTATATATGAGTCGGGACAGGCACAACATGCCCCGAGATTCAATTCGACAGGCAAGGCGCACAAAATCAACATTGATCTTAAAATACACATTCATTATGTACATACAGTCAACACTCAATCAAAATGAAGCAACCTGCCAACAGTGATGATGATAAGAGACAGAGCTTGTTGTTAAGAGAGGTAATGATAATATAAAGCAGAATCACCCTCAACAGGGCTTAACTAAGACAGTAAAATGCAAAAGAGAAAACAAAAAATCTAGAGAGGAACAGTAGGGAGGGGAACCAGTTAAAAAGGCTAACCTGATGACATTCTGACATGTGTTATAAATTACAGTGGAAACCTGACATAACAGGGATGGTGGGAGTATAGAAAAAGTCCTGTTATATCCGATCCCTGTTAAATCCGAAATGCAAGAAAAGTGAGCATTTGTGGACTAATCTAGCTGTATTTATTCATATGTAGTTTCCCTAGCCACAAGTACCCACGAACAGGGGTTTTGGCACCGACTTTCTCCTTGCGTCCTTAAACCACTCCAGAAGAGCTTGGTCCACAGCATCTGCATCGGGTAGTCTCATCTTCTTTCGATCCAGAGCTAACTTTTCATTGGAGTATGCTGCCACTATCTTCTCCCTATCCTTGATAATGGTGGGAATCGACCCTTGTGGAATGTCGAACTGACAACAAATCTCTGCCAGTGGAGCTTGCTTTTTGTCAACAGTCTGGATTATTTCGTATTTTTTGCCAATTGAAAGACATTTTCTCTTGTGCTTGACATCGTTGGTGACCATAATGAAAGAAGTAGGTTTAGATCTAGGCCGACCGGTCGTCCTCTCTCTCTCTCTCTCTCTCTTACTTTTTACACATTGTAAACGAGCCTTTGTCCCTGCTATAACCGGTTGGGCTCGATGAGACCCTGTTATTGCCGATAACCTTTAATAAAGACACTGAGTAGGAAAAACGGGGATTTTAAACATCCCTGTTATTACCGCATCCCTGTTATTACCGGGCCTGTTATATATGGTTTCCACTGTACATGTTTGTCTTTGCTAGATATTTCACTGTTCATGATTCATGTTTATAGTATAGTTCTGGTTGTTTTTTGTTTCGGATCATTGCTACAAACAGGACTGAACGTTCAATAAAATAAAATCTACCAAAAAGGTCTTATCAGACTCCTGTTTGAAATTATAACTTGAAAACCTTACTATGTGAGATGACGTTTCCTGGACATAAATACACCGAAAACTCTTGTGGACAACTTATACAGCACAGTTCTCAGCTAAGAGACCTAACAATTATTATATATGTTTAATTGGGTCAACAATGTGGTAAGCACACAAACTTACCTCTTCCTCCAATAAGGCTGCAAAGTTCTTGCGATAGCGCAGTTTGAAGTCTCCTTTTGTCTTTTTCTTTCTCTTGGGTCCTGGTCCTGATAATATAGTAATAGTAGATGTTCAAGAGAAAAATAAATCATTTGTGGAAAGAAAAAAAAATGGTTAGAAATTTTTACACAACAAAAGTTACTGAAACAATTTTTTACACAAAAATATAAGGAACCAAAACAAAATTGTCCAAAAAAAAAGAAAGAATAGAAAACAACAGTCTTGATCTGAAAGCTCTATATATGTATACAACAGAGATAAACAACTTCTTCATGAAATACATGTTAAGAAATTTTGGCCTGGAAACCCTAGCCTAAGGACACAAAATGAATGAGCAACATCATATTCAGTAAGTTTCTACCTGAGCTGGTGTCCATAACTTCCTCAAACTTTGGAGCTTTCTTGCTCATCTTGAGGTCAGCATGAGGGTCCTCAGAGAAGTTGTCCTGCTCCAGGGCCTCAAGGGCCTTACGCTGACGCCTGCGTCGTGCTGCTTCATCCAGCACACGTGTAGCCTGTACTTCTTTCACTCGCCCTACAAACAAGATACACACAAAAGACCTATTAATATTGTAACACACATATGGCAGGGCATACACACATACTGGACCAAAGACATTTAGTGTCTCTAGCTAGGTAAACTTTACCTCTGACTGGCTTTTCTCAGAGTCTCTACGTTGACACATAACCGGAATGAAAATTATTATAAATTAATATTTGTTCTGTGTTGTCACTTGCGGGAAAAAAAAAAGGCCATACAAGCGTCTTGTCGGGCTCGCCATCGTGACTGGTCAGTGAACCTGTGCCTTGGCATCACATCGTGAGTACCCGTGATCGCTGGGGTCACCAAAAATCATTCGAAGTCTGTGCGCTGCGAAGTATCATCATCATCATTGCCTTTCTCACCCTGTATCAGGGTATAGGCCATGGACAAACACCCTCCACTTTTCTCTATCCTGGGCTAGCCTCTTGATATTATTCCATGTCTTCCCACTTTTCTGTACATCGATTTCTCTGATTCTTCTCCAGGTTCCACAAGGTCTTCCCCTTGATCTCTTACCCTGTGGGTTCCAATCCAAACTTACTTTGTTATGCAGCTGCCTGACTTCCTGAGAGTATGTCCAATCCATCGCCACCACCTTCTTCCTACCTCATCTCTGACTGGGATCTGTCTTGTTTTCCTTAACACTTCCACATTTGTGACCCTGTCTGTCCATCTGATCCTCAGTAACTTTCTTAGACACCTGTTCAAGAAAACCTGGATCCTCTTTATACAAGTCTGTGATGCGTTCCATGCCTCACATCCATACGACAGGACCGACTTCACGTTTGAATTGAAAATCCTCAGCTTTGTTCGAAGAGAGATCTCTCTGGTCTTCCAAATCCTATCCAAAGATATGAAAGCAGCCTGTGCTTTTCCAATGCGGGACTTTATTTCAGCACCTGTTCCTCCCTCTCTGTCAATTATGCTCCCAAGATAGCAGAAGGATTCAACATTTTCTAAGTCCTTTCCTTCTACTGTGACCTGTTCCTTTCGTTGTGCATCTGTCCTTAGGACCTTTGACTCCGATAGGCTGTTTAATACAGAAGTCTTTGCTTGCAACTGTTCCTGGGTGTGCGACAGAAGCGCCAAGTCGTCTGCAAAATCCAGATAGTCCAACTGTGTCCATGGTGTCCACTGTATACCATTTCTGTGTCCTCTGGTGGTTTCCTTCATCAGCCAGTCGATTGCCAATATAAAGAGGAACGGTGATAGTAAGCATCCCTGTCTCACTCCAGTCTTGATGTCAAAGCTGTCTGTGAGCTGGCCATCATGTACAACACAACCCTGCAACTTGTCCCTTCATACATGCTCTTGATGAGGTTCACCAACTTCTGTGGGATTCTGTGGTGTCTCATTATCTACCATAGTGTCGTTTGGTCTATACTGTCAAAGGCCTTCTCATAGTCAAGGAAGCTGGCAATCAGCTGGGAGTTCCACTCCATGTACTGTCCCACAATAATCCTCAGCGTGGCAATCTGGTCGGTTGTTGAGCGATTTTACCGGAAACCGGCCTGTTCATCCCGTAGTCTTGAATCCGTTCCTGTCTTGATTCTTTCCAGAATGATTCTGTTGAAGACCTTACCTGGTATTGAGAGAAGAGTGATCCCTCTGTAGTTGCTGCAGTTGCTGAGATCCCCCTTTTTTGGAAGCTTCATGAGGTGTCCTTCTTTCCAATCCTTTGGGAACTTGCTCTCATTCCAGATCCTGGTAAACAGAGGGAGGAGGATGTCTGCCGTCACATTGGCATCTGCTTTTAGGGCTTCAGGTGGAATCTGGTCGGGACCGGCCGCTTTACCTTTATTCAGCTTCTTAATGGCATCCAGAATCTCTTGTTTTGAAGGAGCATCACAGCAGATATGATAGGTAACTCATTTCTTGCTGGCAGTATGTTTGTTGGGTTACTCGGTGGTGGTCTGTTCAGGAGACTATTGAAATGCTCTACCCACTGCTTAGACTGAGCTTCCTTTCCAAAAATGCTTTTCCAGTCTCGGTCCTTTACAGGTACTTCAGGTTTCCCATATTTTCCAGCAAGTGTCCTTGTGGTCTGGTAAAGGATTCGCATGTGCCCTCCTATCGCTGCTTCCTCTGCCTTCTCTGCTAGCCTGTTTATGAATTCCTCCTTGTCTTTTCTTATTGATTTCTTGACATCTTTTAGCAGTTGTCATGTACTGCTCCAATACATCCACTCTTGATCCTCTTGTTCTACTTGCACTGGCTTCTGCCTTCAGTTGTCTTCTTATCCTAATTAAATCCAATGAGTGTTGGCAAATCCATTCCTCGTGCTCCCATTTCTTCCCACCGAGTACTTCTTGACATGTTGATGTAAAGACTTCTTTGACCTTGGTCCAGTGTGTATCCACCTCCGTGTCCTCACCGCCAAAATCAGCCAGAGGTTGAAATCTGTTCCTCAGCTGCAGCTGAAACTCTTCTTTCTTGTGTCCGTCCAAGAGACTTACTTAGAACTTGGTTCTTCTGATTCCTGTGCTGATTCCGTGTTTTTTGAGTCGAAGCTTGAGTTTTGCCAAGTTTTGCTGCGAAGTATAGGGCTCCAGAATGAGGGGATTATTGATTTTTTTTTTTTTATGTAGTCGGGGGAGGGGTTGGGTTGAAGGCAACACCAGATGACAAAAACTGAGATCTGAACTGCCCGGTTACCGTGCCCGGTTGCCGGTTACCATGTACGTAGATTATATTAAAAGGCTACATGCCCAGTTACTGTGTACGTGACATTGAGACTACTTGCCCGGTTGCCGGTTACAGTGTGCATAGACATTGAGGCTGCCGCTACATGCCCGGTTACCTAAATAATATTTCTGGACCTAATCCAAGTCCTACCCTTGGACTTGGACATTTGGGCCCAAAAACGGAGGTAGGGACTGACTTTAACTTTTGAAGTCGAAATTTCAAGTTAGATTTACAACCTTTGACTTTGACACTGATGAACAACTAGATATCTAGATGTTGATGTTGACTATTTAGTTGTTTGAGGCTCTAAGTAGAGTTCAACTGTTCAACTAGATATTTAGATCTATCTGGCAATGAATGACAATAATGCATTGCGTGCAGGGCCAGACAAATCAGTTTTGGCAACATGCCGTTAAACGTAGAAAAACGCATCTTTCTGATTGGCTACTAATTTTAGTACTGTGATGTTATCACTCCCTGGGATACCCACATGGAACGACGTGTTACATTTTGGATTTCCTAGATCTAGATATATCTAGATTCTAGATCTAGATAGTAGGCCTACTTGGACATGGTGGAAGACCGCACGAAAGTTGCCGTAAAGACGCAGGAGGTTTAGATCTAGATATCTAAATCTAGATCTACCACA